CATCTGCACTGTGAAGCGGCGTCCAATGAGTTGTGAAGCATTTGGCTGAATATGAGCAGATAATATTGCCCGAAACACTTCAGAATTCTTCCTGCTGCTTTTGTCAGCAGTCACATCATCAATAAATACAAGACAACCAGTTCCATTGGCAGCCATACATGCCCACGCCATGACACTACCACCACCATGCTTCACTGATTAGGTGGTATGCTTAGGATCATGAGCAGTTCCTTTCCTTCTCCATACTCTTCTCTTCCCATCACTCTGGTACAAGTTGATCTTGGTCTCATCTGTCCATAGGATGATGTTCCAGAACTGTGAAGGCTTTTTTAGATGTCATTTGGCAAACTCTAATCTGGCCTTCCTGTTTTTGAGGCTCACCAATGGTTTACATCTTGTGGTGAACCCTCTGTATTCACTCTGGTGAAGTCTTCTCTTGATTGTTGACTTTGACACACATACACCTACCTCCTGGAGAGTGTTCTTGATCTGGCCAGCTGTTGTGAAGGGTGTTTTTTTCACCAGAGAAAGAATTCTTCGGTCATCCACCACAGTTGTTTTCCGTGGTCTTCCGGGTCTTTTGGTGTTGCTGAGCTCACCGGTGCGTTCCTTCTTTTTAAGAATGTTCCAAACAGTTGTTTTGGCCACGCCTAATGTTTTTGCTATCTCTCTGATGGGTTTGTTTTGTTTTTTCAGCCTAATGATGGCTTGCTTCACTGATAGTGACAGCTCTTTGGATCTCATCTTGAGAGTTGACAGCAACAGATTCCAAATGCAAATAGTACACTTGAAATGAACTCTGGACCTTTTATCTGCTCATTGTAATTGGGATAATGAGAGAATAACACACACCTGGCCATGGAACAGCTGAGAAGCCAATTGTCCCATTACTTTTGGTCCCTTAAGAAGTGGGAGGCACATATGCAAACTGTTGTAATTCCTACACCGTTCACCTGATTTGGGTGTAAATACCCTCAAATTAAAGCTGACAGTCTGCAGTTAAAGCACATCTTGTTTGTTTCATTTCAAATCCATTGTGGTGGTGTATAGAGCCAAAAATGTTAGAATTGTGTTGATGTCCCAATATTTATGGACCTGACTGTATATATATATATATATATATATATAGTGCAAAGCGCTGTGTAAATGGACAGCACTATATAAGTACCTGAAATAAATAAATAACTTTTTTCTTCAAATTTATTAGTTTATAGTGTAAAAATAAAACACACAGTGGCGATTAAATACCAGCAAAAGAAAGCTCTATTTGTGTGAAAAAAAATAACATTTTCATATGCGTACAATGTTGCATGACCGTGCAATTATAATTCAAAGTTTGACAGTGCTGAAAGCTGAAAATTGGCCTGGGCACGAAGGGGGGAATTAGTGCTAGTAGGCAAGTGGTTAATATACATTGCTGTATGGGTAAAGGACACACAGTGAGCGCTCTCAAAGAAACCGCAGCTGAACATCCAGGATAAACGCATATAAAAATCCTCAGTAAAACATATACATATAAAAATGCAGCGCTGTAAAATTATCAAATCCTGCAAATCAACACAATATTAGTCCTGAAAAGGTGCTCATTAATTCCCAGTGCCAATGGAAAGAATGCAAACTAACCAGAAGCGCATTTAAAATATGCATGTGTGTAAGAAATCCTGGAGATTCCCTCTCTCCCTCTGGTCAGAAAATGGATATGTGCTGAAATGGATGACGATAACGCCCTCTAGTGGGAAAACGAGATCCTGCAGGTTAGGAAGCTCCCAGGATAGGATATTCCTCTTCAATGGAACCAGGGCTGGGATTGAAATCACTCTGTGGCTGTGAAATTGGGAGAAAGACCCCTCACAGAGAACACAGAGAGATACTCATAGTGTAGTATATTACTTCAATTTATTTAAAAAAAAAACAAAACATATAATTAGCCTGTGGACGTCATTGACACTACGCCGCCGGTGCCATGTGGAGGCCCGGCGGCCACCTATAATTTTAAGAGGGTCAGTGGGTCACTTTCACTTGCCACCTGATTATATGTTTTACTTGTTTTTTTTTTTTTTTAAATAAATTGATGTAATATACTACACTGAGTATCTCTCATGCACATCACTGGATCAGGCTCAGGTAAGTATTTGGGGGGGCTGCTGCCCAGAAAAGGTTTATTAACTTTGTGCATAGAATGCATTAAGGTAAAAGACCTTAAGCCTTTACAACCACTTTAATAGTAGAGAGGTCAAAGAAATCTATTCTGTTTGCCATTGTTCACTCCCATTTCTTCATGCTGTATTTTTGAATACATCTACGTTTAATGATTGTCTGTCTGGCTTTGATTGCTACACCTGCAGGTTTATGCAATCATAATTTTGACTTTTTTACTTGGCCCTCTTCACAAGCTAAATATCTTGTTCAGATGACAAGCTACTAGAGCTTTTTAGGTCAAAGCATCAAGGTTTTGGCTCTCAAAGAGTTGTGTTAAAAGGCCAGGCTGATGTATGGCTGGTGCTTTTTATCTGAGTTTCATTTGGACCCAATAATTTCATTTAGGAAGTACAATCGATCCTGTTTGCTAATTATTTCATCTTATAACAGCTAATGCCATAGCAAAGCTGGATGAAGACCAGGATGAATTTGAAAAGGAGCACAGATTCATTCAGGTAAGTGTCTGCATTTAATTGTTATAGTTTCTCTCTTTAATTGTTATACAATATAGGCAAAGCAACAAGGTGAAGCATTTTTGTTATAACTCTGTATACTTTGAATTACTTTTATATTGAATAAATCTGAATTGGTGCTGATATACTTTTTTGCGGTCTTTAATTTTTTTTATATAAAGGTTTACATTTTAATGACGGCTAATTCAAATCCAATCTATAGAATTCCTCTAATAAAGCAGTTCTTTAACTTGTTTTTCTTTTAGAGGCATTTGCCTAGCTTGAAAAGCCTAAAGCTCATTCTCCTGAATAAAAGAGCAGTGTTTCCTTTTGAATGTAGATTAGGGGGAGGAGACATTCAGCATGCATTTTAGTTGTTTAAAAAGAAATATTTCCCCCTGCCACTGTAGCTTTGTGATGAGGAATGAAAAGGACATTACAAAAGTTCCCTTGTGTTTAACACACAGCCAGCTAGACAATAATCTTGATGTTGCAAAAATACCAATGTGTTGCGGTATTATGTGTTTGATTAGGGGTTCACTCTGCTTTTTAACCTTTTAACAGTGAAGGGTGCAAGCCAAGAAGCACCATTGCGTCTGACTGTTTTCTTCCTTGATGGGCTGTTTGCCCTCACATTAAAAGGGTGAACTATTGTGAAAACTCTGCAAATTGTTTAGAACAAAACAGCCTTTTTTGTAAAACTATGTGGGTGATCCATGTGCTTAAATGTGATTATTACTCCCTGAGGACTTGTATTAAAATGCAGTGAGCCCTCTGTAGGTGTATGGCGACGCAGCATTTTTTGAGAGCTTAAATTTGGACTCCATAGGATGTGCACATAGACTTTTTGGCTAACGTGTGCACCTGTCATGAGCCATGAATGCACCTGGAGCTTCCACAGCAATGACCCGGTTTATACTTGTAGACTTAGTGTTACTAAACCCAGGACCCTGCATTCTCTATATCTGGTCTCTCACAGTACACAGAACATGGAAATTCAATTATTACAGTAAATATAAATTGCTAAATATATTCTCAGTAGCCGTATATAGCAGTCTTGTGATGCCATCAGTGTCCAGCAGAGCACTGGTTACAGCTTGAAGGGGCTTTCATTCTCCTATAGGAGAATGCAGGACCCTTGATCCTCTGTCTGGACAGTGTTGATTGGCCCTGTGCTGATCACATTCACTCTCCCAAGAAAAAAAATTTCTCTAGCAATACACACCAAACTGAGCACGTGCAGCTTGCTCCTAGTCTTTGGTCAGGAGATATTTCGGAGACATTGGAAGAAGGGGAGAATCGGAGAAGACAGGATCACACATCCTTTTTACACAATGCATAGGATCAACCCCTTAGCTTCCACAGTGAGTATAACAAGCATGCCTTACTGCATACATAGACTGATTTTACTGTTGTGGGTTTTGTAACACTTTAAAGAAAAGCACATTTTGTTAAATGGTCCCATCCTCCTTCCTGGACTGGAGCCTGGATGTACATGGTATAACTAAAGATATTGAAGTGCAATATGTAGCTAGCTATAGTTACCTCTTTATTATGTGTGGTTTTTTTATAGTCCGTGTTTTTATAGGCGGTGTCCCTATGTTAATGCAATGATCTGGCCCAATATGCCATTAATGTAGCCAGATAGCCTAGCTTTAACATCTTAAAGGGAACATGCTAGGATCGCTGTTCTGTCACATTAAAGACTGCCATCCTGCTCAGGAATCTACGCTTGCTAGAACCTTCCCCAAAACAAACTGTACAAAATGTCGAGTAGTGCAGGCTTATGCAGTGTTGTTTACTGCACCTTGCTAGGCCATAGCACTGCTGCTGAAAGTCCACCAGTAGCAGCCCTCAATGTCCGTAAACAGCTAGTAGGTTTTTTTTTTTGTTTGTTTTTTGGGGGGGGGGGGTAGGTACAGAGAACCTGAAGGTGATTTTGTTAATGAACAAAATCCTTTGCTTTTATTTTTTTTTTAAATATGTCAAGATTTCACTTCTGGGTTACTGAGTTAGATGCTATGTCTTTAATCTTCACCCAAAATTATGTCTGATTCATCTATTTTTACAAAACCCTCTTCTGTGAGCTCATTTTCTTTGGTGAGAATCAGTTTTAAATGTATGAGTGACTTCTCTACATAACCTTCCCTCGCATAATGTTTATACTATTCGTAGGAAGAAAAGATGGATTTGGAAAATCTCTCTGTTAGTCTGGGTGATTCATCATGGAAGATGCCGGTCCAAACTAATGTTTTACTTAAATCTCATATGGGATCTGAATTCTATCAAGAAGATGCAAGCTACTTCCGTCTCTCCTTAGGCGAGTTCTTTGGTCAGAGATCAGAAGCCCTTGGGTGTCTTGGCGGAGGAAAAGATGTTAAAAGGGTAAGTAATAACACTAGGTATTTAGCGTAGTTATTTTCGTAGTCTGCTAAATAGAAAACTGGCCCTTTTGGGGGAGGGGGGGTTGTCCATTGAGCGAAAAAGGATGTTTTAGACTATTGGGTGGTACAGCTGCTTACAAGAGAAATTGGCACTGACAAAAAGAACAGCTGTTGGCCAGCACAAAATTGCTCCATCCACAACCATCATGCCTTAGTTTTTTGCTAGTGTCATGAGTGGATTTGTGTTCTATTCTTTGCTTGTTCTGAAGATTTTTCCACTATTCACAGCGGCTTGTCGATTCATGCCAGAAAAGTGATATTAAAGTCTAATTTTTTTAAATTAAAATAATAAACATGTTATACCTGCTCTGTGCAAGGATATTGCACGGAGCGGTCTCTTAAACCATCTTCTGGGGTCCCTCACTGGTGTTCTCCACTCCACCTCTTTTCCAAGTGCCCACACAACGAACTCTGTGAATCCAGGAAAACAGAAGACATGCAGCAAGGTGCATTGCTGGATCAGTAGAGGACTCAGGTTATGTGTTTAACCAGTTCCATGCCGCCCTATAGCAGAAATACTGCTACATGGCAGCACGGTTGCGCAAAATCTCGTGTGTGTGTGTGTGTGTATATACATAATTTAGCAGTGCCATATAAAGCAGTGTGCTTACAGTGAAGCGCACACACAGCCCCTATAGTGAAACCGCACACAGTTAACCCTTTGATCACCCCAGATGTTAACCCCTTCATGCCCATTAAAATTAGTACAGTGTCAGTGTTTTTTATTAGCACTGATCACTGTATTGGTGTCACTGGGGATGTCAGTGACATCAAGTCAGTTCCCTCCAGTGTCAGCCCGCCGTAGTCCTGCTATAAGTTGCTGATCGCTGCCATTACTAGTAAACCCCCCAAAAAAAATTCCAGTATCTATACTGCCATTTGTAAATGCTACAACTTTCTCGTCAACCAATTAATTTACACGTATTGGGATTTTTTTTTTTAAGCGAAGACATGTAGCAGAATACATTTTGGCCTAAGTTTTATGTGAAATTTGATTTTTTTTTTTTTTTTCTGGACATGTTTAATGGCAAAAAGTCAAAACTATTACTTTGTTTATTTTTCTCAAAATTGTCAGTCTTTTTTTATTTATAGCGCAAAAAATAAACACACAGGCGATCAAATATCACTGAAAGAAAGCTCTATTTGTGGTGAAAAAAGGATATAAATTTCATTTGGGTGCAGCATTGCATGATCGCTCAATTGTCAATTAAAGTAACACAGTGCTGTATTGCAAAAAATTGCCTGGTCAGGAAGGGGGGTAAATCCTCTGGAGGGCAAGTGGTTAAGGAGGGGGGAATAGCTACTAAAATGTTGAAAAAATGCTTTAAGGTAAAAAAAAAAAACCTTTTGTGTTTAGAACGTTTAAAGTGGAACGTCACTGCATTTGTTCACCACAAATATAAAACACTCTTTAATTCAGGGGCGCATGCGCTGCGATCCAAGATGGCGTATGCGTGAGAGGTGAGCTCCGCAACCCTCAGCTTTAACAGCCCTCCTGCTACTCTCCTGCAGCAGTCACAGACCCGGGAGAGCTCTCCCACAAGTCGAAACACTCCCAGGCACCTACATGGGTAAAATCGAGCGTTTAGAAGCTGCCCATGCCGCCTCCTCCGGACCCCCAGCCTTCCATGCTGAATCGAATCTTCTCTAGGCCTGCATCCCCAACCTCGAGTAGTTGCGGTTGTCAGAGTGCTCCGGAGGGTCCGCTGAAATGGAGGGGACAGACAGATGCCCCTGCTGCCTTCCTTCCTACTCCAGTGGACCCTTCTCTGACGGTGGATATCCTGGTGGACAGGCTGCAAGTATTTTTACGCAATATTACCCGCGCTATCTCTGCTGAAATTGGGATGCTGGCTTAGGAGCTTAGGGGAGATCGCACAGACCACCTTGAGTCAAAGTTTGACGAATTGGTACAATATGTCCATATCCTGGAAGAGGATAATGCGAGTCTGAAACATTGCGTGTCTCAGGAAGACCTGGAAAACAGGGAGCGCTGTCAGAATATCTGTGTTCGTGGCATTTTTGAAACGGTCCCTGACTCCCACCTTCAGTGTCACCTACTGTCTGTGTTTACCACTCTGGCCCCCAAAGTTCCAGATGTTGATTGGCGCATGGATCAGACCCGTCACTGGGCCCGAAACCTCCTAAGGGTACTACGCCAGAGATGTTATCATTCGTTTTCAATACTTTGACAGCAAGGAAGCCTTGCTCTCTTCCACCCGTGACAAGTCCTCCCTGGAATTTAAAGGAGACAGAATTAAAAATTTCAGTGATTTATTCCCCATCTCCTTGGCAAAAAGGCGTGTTTTTAAGCCGGTCACCACTCATCTCCAGTAGCATCGCATCGCTTACCGGTAGGGATTCCCTTTCAAGCTAGTTGTCTCCAAAGATGATGCCCAAGTCGTACTTCCTGATCTGCATGAAGCGGACTCCTTTTTTGTATTTCAATAGTTTTTATTAGTTTTAAGCAGTATAAAACAGAGGCGACGAAACATGCCCCCACAGGGGCTATCAATTGCACCGATAAGATAAAAAACATAATAATAAAAGAAAAACAGTGCTCTAACTTCAACAAGGCAGAAGGTACGCCCACGCAGGGGCTATCAATGGCACATAGGTTACAATGACGGTAATGAAATTCTAACTGCAATTAAAGGCAACTGTCAACTATCACCCAAAAAAACTAACAGAAATGGAAAGAAAGAAAGAAAGAGAAGAGAAATAAGAGGAGAGAAAAAGAAAAAAAAGAGAAGAGGGGGCAGAGATCCAGGAGCGCCACCATCAAACGCCAGTGCCTAACGTCAGTACATCCCCATACTAGCCAAAGGAAGCGTGGGAAAGGCATATTGCAACCATGGTTCCCATATTTTCGAGAATTTACATTGGGAGTCGTTGCATATGCTCGACATCTGCTCATTAAGCATCATATTGGTCATACGATCCCGCACCCCCTGAAAAGGGACAAACGGACTCTTCCAGGCCTGAGCAATTGTTCTGGTGGCCGACAGAAACAAATAGGACGCCAGCTTCTGCTGATGAGCAAAGAGACCCGGTATGGGGCAATGAAGCAAGGCATACCGAGCATCCCGGCGTATGGATAGATGAAACAACGTGAAAAGGAGGCCAAATACACGAGACCAAAAACGGACCAGTCTCGGGCATGACCAGCAGATATGCAAGACATCGCCACGATGGCCACAACCCCGGAAACATCGATCACTACAAGCGGGATTAGCCTGGGCCAAACGAGCCGGAACCCAATACCAACGAAACAATACCTTATAGGCTGCCTCCAGCGTGGTGGTATTGAATGAGCATTTAGCTATGAGTGACCAGGCCCTATTCCAGTCCTCCGGATCCACATCCACCCCCAGGTCACGCTCCCACTGAACAACATATGAAAGAGAAGTATGCGACGGGCGTCTGTTCAAGGCTGCATAAAGAAGGGAGATAAGGCCCGGGGCACCCGGGCGCTGCTGACAAAGCTGTTCAAAGGCCGATTTCTGGTATGGAAAAGAAGAAGTGCCCCGCAGCGAGAGTAGCCAGTGCCGCAATTGAAGGTATCGAAAAAATTCCGCCGGGGGAACATCCCGGGACTCCCGAAGAAGATCCCAGGTAGGGAAGGACCGAGAAACCAAAAAGTGTCGTACCTGCGAAAACCCATGAGCCACCCACCAAGAGAACGCCCTTGGGTGATCTAAACCCGGTGGGAAAAGAGGGTTGTTAACAATTGGAAGCAAAGGCAGAAAGGGTGACATCAGGCCACTGGAATAACGTACCGAGTCCCAGATTCGTAAGCCATGGAGCAACATCGGGCTCAGTGATATAGGGCGCAGGGCAGGGGGAAGCCATAGAAGCGCCGACGGTTGGATAGGGGCACAGTTAGGTAGCTCCAGCAAGACCCAGAAAGGGACGTCAGAGGAAGCGTGCAACATAGACAGCGGGGCAATCTGGCTCGCCTGGTAATACTTAGTTACATTGGGCACCCCAAGGCCACCCTGAAGTCTATGAGCAAAGAGCGTATTTCTAGATACTCTGGGGTGCTTATTGGCCCAGATGAAACGCATAAGCTTCGCCTGAAGCAACCGAAGGAAATGAGGGGGAACCCGCAGCGGGAGAGTACGAAAATAATATAACAATTTCGGCAGGACGGTCATTTTCACCGAATGAACCCGCCCTATCCAAGACAGGTGCGGAAATTGCCAGGAATGCAGAAGAGAAGATAAAGAACTAAGCAATGGGTAATAATTCGCAGCAAAGAGGGAGTCATAGGTGGGGGTCAAGCGGATGCCCAAATATTCAAGAGAGGAGGAAGCCCATTTATAAGGGAAGTAGGATTGAAGGCGTGAAACCAAATCGGAATCCAAAGTAATATTAAGAGCGACAGTCTTATCCAAGTTAATACGGAGACCCGAAATCAAAGAGAAGCGCTCAAGAACCTGTTGCAGATTAGGAAGCGTCGTCAGAGGCTTAGTAAGAGTCAAGAGGGCATCGTCCGCAAAAAGATTCAGCTTAAACTCCTGTCCCGCGTATGAAACCCCCGATATATTGCAATCGGTCCGGAGCCCTAAAGCCAGCGGCTCAAGCGCCAGTATAAAAAGCGCCGGGGACAAAGGGCAGCCCTGTCTCGTCCCTCGCCCAATAGGAAAGGGGTTCGAGAAATACCCAGCATATTTAACGGAGGCCGAAGGAGACGAATACAAGGCTTGAATCCAAGAAAGGATAGAATCCCCGAAACCCCAACGAGACAGCACAAACCGCAGATATTCCCAGGATAGAGAGTCAAAGGCTTTATATATGTCTAAGGACAGTAAGAATCCCGGGATTTTCCGCTGTTGCAGAAGATATATAAGATGGACCACCTTACGAACGTTATCACCCGCCTGCCTCCCAGGGATAAACCCCACTTGGTCCCTGTGGACCAGGCTACGCAAATAGTTA